ATTTCTCATCTATGACATGCCTATTCTCCCCGGCGGTCGTCCTTGTGGTTCCTGGAGCAGCCATGGCCAACACACCTGCCCGGTTATTAAGCATACCTTGCGGGCGGGGGGGGGGGGGGGAGGGAGGGAGGGAGAGAGAGAGAGAGAGAGAGAGAGAGAGAGAGAGAGAGAGAGAGAGAGAGAGAGAGAGAGAGAGAGAGAGAAAGATGGCCAGTGGTTGTGGATGAAACTTTTTGTGCTTCATGAACTTGCAATGGCACAGTGGCAGGCTTTCCAATCATCGTCATGTGCATGCACTCCCGGGCCGGGAGATAGAGAAACTGGGATGGCCCGTGGCTGTGGATTAACTTTGTGTTTGCTGTGAACTTGCCATGGCATAGTAGCAGGCTTTCCTGCTGGTGCTGGTTGTGGATGAAACATCGTCAATATGCTCATGAATCATGGCGGTTACATCTGGCCATCATTTGATAATGGGATAATCTTGCTGGTGCTGGTGCTGGCGGTTGCCTAGCTTGTGGTTGTGGTGAGGATGATGACGGTAATGATGATAATAATGAAGGTGAAGATGACGACGAGGACAATGGGGATGATGGATATGGGCATGTTGTCAATGATTATGATGTTGATGGTGATCGTAAGGGCCAGTCTTCGAACTCGTGATGGAGTTCTTGCAGCAATGATAGTGAATGGTTCGAGGTGTAGCGCATTCATGAGTATGGTGATGGGGAAGATGGATTCTCGGAGTATGGTGATGAGGAAGTATGAGTATCAAGGTGGCGAGGAATTGGGGTGTGGGTGCACTCTCCCCAGACAGGATGATTTAGCCATTTGTCTTGGTGTGCACACGCTTTCTACGACTCCCTGCCACCACTGAAGGTGAAGATGATGATGATGATAATGGGGTGTGGGAAAGATGAACGCGACGACTTTTATGTAGGTGGTTATGATTATGAGGGAGAGGATGATGATTGGTGATATGATGACAAGGATGATGATGACAAGGGTGAGGATGAGGGTGACAATAATGGTGAGTGGCAGTGGTTATGAGCACTTATATTACTGTGATGTTAATCGTAATATGAATAGGAGCTTTAGGATAGTGGGATTTTCACGATTTTTTCAGGAGGAGAATAACAATGATGATGATGATGATGAGATGGTGATGACTTGGTGTGTGATCCCCTGCCACATTGGACATGAACCATGACAACAACTTTCTTTCCTCACCTCAACTCTTACTGCCTCCTGGAGTGGAGGTACTGCTTTGCCAGTCTTCAGGAGGAATCAAGATAGTAAGATACCCTCTTCAAAAAGAAAGAAAAAAGAGGACTAAAATACCCTAATGAGCAAGATAGCCTCAGGTTGTTCTGCGTTGCACATGTCTATGTCCGTTAGTCTGTCGGTTACTTTGGAACATGTTTCTGTTTAGGGGGATTTTTGAAACAGGGACTGTGAAGTCCTGCAAGCACTGCTTGGGTGGTGGTTTTGACGAGAGCCTGCTGTTGGATTTTTGCTCAATGGGCTGTGAACGGTGAACAGGGAGTAGAATTTAATCTGTTATTGCGCACGTTATTTAATCCCTACTTATATAACTATCGCTAATTTTCGGCCTGTGCCATTCAGACGATCGGGGCCCTGTGATTTTACACTCCGCGACGGTCCCGATCGTCTGCTGATCATTTGCTCTTAGAAGTTGAAGCGTCGCAGCGGCTCCGCGCCAGGGCCTGTACTGGGCCCATGCGCCAGCACCGGTACCAAAGCGTGTTGCCGGCCCTACCGCACGCGGTACCGGGGTTGCGCGTGACACGCCACCAGTCCAGCGCCGCTACCGGTCCAGTGCCGCTCCAGTGTATAGAAACTTTCATATCGATCCTCCCCCACGTGCGATCAAGCATAGTATCTAGTCCGTCCAGTTTCATATCTTATCCGTGGTCCATTGAAAAGAGAGAGAGAGAGAGAGAGAGAGAGAGAGAGAGAGAGAGAGAGAGAGAGAGAGAACCCAACTAGGTGCCTCCCCCC